GTTTTGCTTTTGTTCCCCTATCTGCTGACGTGCGTATACATATACATGCATACGTCTATTTGTTTTTTCTCCCTATATATATATGTGTATATATATATATATATATATATATATATATATATATATATATATATGTAGTGTGTGTGTGTGGTGTGTGTGTGTGTGTGTGTGTGTGTGTGTGTGTGTGTTGTGTGTGTGTGTGTGTGTGTGTGTGTGTGTTGTGTGTGAGTGTGTGACATCAGTGCAAGCACGTAGGATGTAATAGGATGACGGGGGCTTCACTGTGTCCTGGGTAAAGTTACAGCAGGAGGAAATTACGCTAGCTATTCATGATGACATTTTATATGCACACAAACACACACACACAACACACACACACACACACACACCTCCCTCGTATTCACTGCCACGACGCCCTCAGGTCCGTCATTCGCGACCCTCGCCCACGCCCGCAATCCAATGAAGCCCATAAAGGAAACCCTGATAAAACAGAGCACAGAGGAGGGTTCGCTAATCTTATTCCTTCCTCATTACTTCCCTGGGCTGGGAGGGGGAGGGGGGTCCAAGCAGGGGGGGGGAGGCGATGGGAGTTCCAGCAAGGGGGGGGGAGCAGTGGGTGAGGGGTAATGAAGAGGAAGGTGAGGGATAGGGAAGGAAGGAGGGAAAGGAGGGAGGGAGGGAGGGCAAGAAAGGGAAGGGAGAAGGAGAATGGACAGTAAGGGAGGGAGGATAAGAAAAGGAAGGGAGAAGGGAAAGAGGGGAAGGGAGGCCGAGAATGGAAGGGAGCAGGGGGAAGAAAAGGAGGAGGGCGAGAGAAGAAATGGTGAAGGGAAGGAAGGAGGGAGGGCGAGAGAAGGAAGGGAGAAGGGAAAGGAGGGAGGGAGGGCGAGAAGGGAAGGGAGAAAGGGGAAGGAAGGAGGGAGGGAGAGCAAGAGAAGGGGGAAGTGTGGTTAAGACGGATGGAAAGAAGGGGCAAGGGGAGAGCGGAGAGAGAAGCAGAGAAGGATGGAAGGGTAAGGGAAAGGTGAAGGAGGGACCAGAAGGGAGGAGTAGGGGGGGGGGGTGTAAGCTAAAGGAGGAGGAAGGAGGGGGTAGTAGGGAGAAGGGGGAGGAGGCGGAGGGAGAGTTGGGGAGAAGGAGATAACGGCAAGGAAGGAGGGAGGAAATGAAGGGAGAAAACGAAGGAAGAAGTAATCTAGGAAGGAGAGAAAAAAATGGAAAATAGGGGAAGCGGAAGAGGAAAAGAGAAACAGAAGAAGAGAGGGAAGAAGGAGAGACAGAGAAGCGTAGGGGTGGGGGAGGGGGGGAGGGGAATGAATCAGGGTAGAAGGAAGGAGTTTAAGAGGGGAAGAGGGGGGGTTACCGGATATCCCCGGCCCAAAGACACAAATTCCTTTTCTCGCCTTTGTGCCTTTCCCTTCTCTCTTTTCGGTGTTTCTTTTGCATTGCTTATCCCCTTTTATCTCTTTTTTTCATTATTAATCCATTTCTCTCACACTGAAATCAATTTTATTTTTCGAAATTTCTAACATTTTTTTTCTTCATTTTTCTCCTTCCAGTTTTTTCATTATTTTAGGTATTTACCGTTTTCATTTTTGCTTATTTTATTTCCCTATAACTCCTTTTGCCTTTTCTACTTCATCATCATTATTGTCATCGTAATCACCATTATCTTCTCAGAGAGAGAGAGAGAGAAAGAGAGAAAGAGAGAGAGAGAGAGAGAGAGAGAGAGAGAGAGAGAGAGAGAGAGAGAGAGAGAGAAGAGAGAGAGAGAGAGAGAGAGAGAGAGAGAGAGAGAGAGAGAGAGAGAGAGAGAGAGAGAGAGAGAGAGAGAGAGAGAGAGAGAGAGAGAGAGAGAGAGAGAAAGAGAGAAAGAGAAAGAAAGAGAGAGAGAGAGCGAGAATAAGCGAGAGAAAGAGAGAGAGAGAGAGAGAGAAAGAGAGAGAGAGAGAGAGAAGAGAGAGAGAGAGAGAGAGAGAGAGAGAGAGAGAGAGAGAGAGAGAGAGAGAGAGAGAGAGAGAGAGAGAGAGAGAGAGAATGAAAAGAGAGAGAGGGCGGGGAAAAGCGAGAGAGAGGGAGAGAGTGAGAGAGAGAAAAAAAGAGAGAGAGAGAGAGAGAGAGAGAGAGAAAGATGGAAAGAGAATAAGAACACGCTTTTAAAAAGGAAATAAAAAGAAAAAAAGACAAGGAAAAGGGAGAAAGAGAAAGAAAAAAAAAACGAAAATGGAAGGAAAATACAAGCTAATAAAAAGGAAAACCACCCGCCCATTCACGGCGTCCGCCCACGAACCGGTTGAGAAGGCAAACACACCTATTAATGACCGGGGCCTTAGAGTCAACACTCACCTCTCCCCTTTCCCCTTTTCCTCCTCTCCCCTCTCCGGCCTCCCCTTCCCCTCTCCTCCTTGCCTTTTTTTCCCTTTCCCTCTCCTCTTCCTTCTCTCTTTCTCTCTTCCTTTTCTCCTCTCTCTCTCTCTCTCTCTCTGCTCTTTTCCTAGGAGCAAGGACGAGAGAAAGGTAAGGGGGAGGGGTGTGTAAGGGAGGGAATAGTGAGAGGGGGAGGAAGAGGGGGAGGGGGATATCTTTAGGAAAGTTCTCCTTTACTCTCCGATTCATTTATTCATTTACCTTTCTTTAAGAGAGAGAGAGAGAAGAGAGAGAGAGAGAGAGAGAGAGAGAGAGAGAGAGAGAGAGAGAGAGAGAGAGAGGAGAGAGAGAGAGAGAGAGAGGAGAGAGAGAGAGAGAGAGAGAGATTGGGAGGTATTGAGAAGAGAGAGAGAAAAGAGATAAAAAGAATGAGAAAAAAAGAAAAAAGAAAGAAGAAAGGAAAAGAGAAAAAGAGAGAGATTGGGAGGTATTGAGAGAGAGAGAGAAAGAGATAAAAAGAATGAGAAAAAAAGAAAAAAGAAAGAAGAAAGGAAAAGAGAAAAAGAGATAGATCGATCGATCGATAGATAGAGAGAAGGAGATAAAGACAGAGACGGAGGCCGAGAGACAGAGGGACAGAGACAGAAAGAGAGAGCGAGAGAGAAAGAGAGAGGGCCTCCTGCGGTGAGGAGAGAGGGAAAGAGGGGGCTGGTGAGGCTTAATAAGGAGTTGGGGCGTGTTGAAGGAGCAGAGAATGTGTGTGGCAGCGGAAAATATAGACCGAGCCACCGACGACGAGGACTGGCGCGAGCTGAGTGATGACTGGAGCTGGGCCTTGCAAGGATATGCGTGAGTGAGGGGAGGGGAGGAGAGGAAGGTTGGAAGGGGAGAAGGAGAAGGAGAGGAGAGGAAAGGGGAATCGGGGAGAAATAAAAGAAAAGGGGAGGAGAGGAAGGTTGGAAGAGAGGGGAGGCAAGGAAGGTTGGAAGAAAGGGAAGGAGAGGGGAGGAAAGGAAGGTTGGAAGAGAGGGGAGGCAAGGAAGGTGGGAAGAAAGGGAAGGAGAGGGGAGGAAAGGAAGGTTGGAAGAAGGGGAAGGAGAGGGGAGGAAAGGAGGGTTGGAAGGGGAAAGGGTGGAGAAAGAGAAAGGGAAAAAGAGAAGGCGAGGGTAGGAGAGGAAGGTTGGAAGAAAGGGAAGGAGAGACGAGGAGAGGAAGGCTGGAAGAAGGGGAAGGAGAGGCGAGGAGAGGAAGGTTGGAAGGGGAAAAGGTGGAGAAAGAGAAAGGGAAGAAGAGAAGGCGAGGGGAGGAAAATGTGGATGGATCTAGGAGAAAAGAACGGGAATTAAGGACGGAAAGAGGATGCGAAAAGACGGGAAGGAGAAATGAAAGATAGATATATGTGCGATGAGGACAGGAAAGAAAGGCAGCAAGGGGAATCATAAGGAGAAAGAGGAAGAAAATCGGTGAAATAGGAAGAAAATGGGAGAGAGGAAGTAAATAAGAGAAAGAGGAAGAGAGAAGAAAATGGGAGAGAGGAAGAAAATAGGAGAAAGGGGAAGAGAGAAGAGAAATGGGAGAGAGGAAGAAAATGGGAGAAAGAGGGAGAAAAAAAGAGAAATAAGAAGAAATGGGAGAGAGGAGGAAAAGCAAAGAAAGAGGGAGAAAAAGGGAGAAAGAGGAGAAGGAAAATGGACTTCTTAAGGTATGTGCGTGTGTTTGCCGAGGCGGAGGAGAGAACTCATGAGGGGAAATGGGGAGACGGGAACCTCAAAAGAATGTGCGAGTGAAAAGGGAAAAGGAAAACAACAGTAGCTGGAAATGTGTGTGTTGGCTGGAAGGACAAGGGAAGGGAAGGCTGAGAGACGGAAAAGGGGAAGAAGACAAGAGGCAAAGGAAATGGGAAAACTGAAGGAACTTTCGAAGGACATGGGCGTGATGAGGGGAGGAAAGGGAAGGTTCGGAGGGGAAGAGAGTAAGGAAAAGAGAAAGAGGAAGGGGGCAAGGAGAGGAAGGAACTTGAGATGGATATGGGTGTTGGGAGTGACGGAAGGCTGCGAGAGGGAAAGGTCGAGGGTAAGTGCCCTAGAAGGTTATATATGTGGAGGGAGGAGGAGCGAGGGGAGGGGGGGGGGAGGCAGGCGCTAAAAGAAGTCTCTGTGGGGGGGGGGAAGAAGGCAGGATTTCCACTAATATTTGGAGAGATGAAGGGGGAAGGGACAGGGAGGGAAGACAAAAAACTTGAGTTGGGTATGGATATATGTGGAGAGAGGGATATGAGACAGGAGGGAAGACTAGTGGACTTTTGAAGGATATGTGGTGCCGGGCGGTGCGGTTGGGAAGGAGAAGAGGTAGGCGTGGTGTATGTGGGAGGAGGGGGTCATTCATCTAGGAATATATATATAATATATATATATATATATATATATATATATATATATATATATAATATATATATATATAATATATATACATATATATATATATATATATACATATATATATATATATATATATATATATATATATATATATATATATATATATATATATATAATATATATATATATATATATATATATATATATATATATATATATATATATATATATATATATATATATATATATATAATA